CGCTGACACACACTGAGCTGCGCTGACACACACTGAGCTGCGCTGACACACACTGAGCTGCGCTGACACACACTGAGCTGCGTGAGTCAGAGGGGCCCTGAAGGCCAAGTGGGCTGTCTTTCCCACGAGGAGGAAAGGGAGAGAAAAAGGAGACGGGGTGAATGTGCCGTCTCTGCTTCTGCTTAAGCCAAGATCCGCCATGCCTCTAAATGACTGCTGTCTTCCAAGAGGTGGTGCTACCAAAGACCTCATTTTAAAATGTTCTGGAGCAAAGATGTCACTCAGACCCAAGCCAAGGTCAGGTGCGAGGAGAGCAAATGGACGGCCTACCTTTAGTCTTGATGGCTGTTTCAATGTTCAAAGCGTCCCGCTCAGCGTCGAAGTTGGTGTAGGCCTTGACGGACCCGTATGCACTTGGCGGTGTGGAGTGCTGAGGTGAAAAGACAAGCACATACAATAGCACACGTTTACCATCTTCCCATGGGGCGGGGGCGGGAATGCTTAGACGAAAATGCTTTGACATGGCTTCTTTTCATGATTCAAAGCATCCTGTCTCCAGGCAACTAGATAAACACAACGGCGCATGTCCCCACTTTCGTTTTTACCGTGTGGAAGCTCCAAAGTAGACCGGGGAAAGCTCGTTAGTTCCCGAGGGCTCTCAGGAGCAGTAAAATGGGATGAGCCCAGTCCACAACAAGAAACGCGTGGGCAGGCCTCAGTGACAGGTTGTTGGTCCGGAAGCATGGCTCCCCACTGGCCCTGTGTCGCCGTGGAAGGTGCTTGCCACGTTCTCTGGGACCATCCAGGTAAGGGTCTCCTTCCTCCTCTACCTCACCTCGGCAGCCACCCCTGTAGCACCAAGGTGGTCTGGTCCCACAGTCCACATCCTGTGGTGTGTGCTAGGGTCCTCTTCGCTGCCCTGCCCTGTCTTCTTGAATTCTCCCTTCGCTGCCTTCCACGCTGGTCTTTTTCATTTTTCCATTGCCATTTCAAGCGTGCCTTCTTCTTTCCCCAACGCTTTTCAAAGCCCCTGACCCTTTCCGCTCTAAAGGACAGAAACATCTCTACCCACTGGCCTCCCCCCTGAACCCCAGATTGAGCTAAAGACCACGGCAAGCTCCTCGTCAGTTCTTCCCAAGACACTGATCTCCCTGCTCTTTTGAAATGTGCTCACCCTGTTTCCCAGGCCCCCACCTAAAGGGCAGAAGAGAAGAGTGGCTAATGGGGTGCCGGTTGGCTCGTGGGTGGTGGAGGTAGCTACCACTGGGCTGTCTTCAGTGTCCAGGCTTCCCAAACCACCACTGCCGCCCAGCAGACACTGCCCATGCATGACGGGATAATGGGAGGACCTTCACCTTGGCTCTGTTTATGTGAAGGGACCCTGACTCAACTCTCCATCCACAAGCATTAAGTCAGAAGCCACCCGGCCCCTGGCTTATTTGGTTGTATTAACGCTGAGGTTCACAAGTTTAGGGGTTAGCAAGTTGCCAGGCCTCCTGGGACAGGCTGGCGATCTATGCCCCAACTGAGACTGACTATTTCTAAATGCACTTTGAAGGCCACCTTGGACCAAGTTTAGATACAGCGAACATGCATAACTCTGAAACAATAAATGGCTTCTCCGGGTTGTTTTCGTTCTAAATTCACCATTTAAAATTTCCAGTCTCTGACTCAATGTGGCCAGGCACATATTCGGGAACATCTAAAGGCAACATGTTATTTTGGAACACTGCCCACCTGTGCTACGGTGGGTCGGAAATGTGGATGGAAATCTAAAGGGAAAGAGCTTCCCGCTTAGGAAGAGTTCCATCAATTAGTATTTGTAAAGACAGGCAGGCAGGCATTCTGGCCGGGAGCCAGTTCACAGGGCGCTTCATTTACCAGGGGAGACTGTGTGTGTCTTAATCCCCAAAACAGCAATGCGTGGGGGGAAGTTTTGAAACAGAAGAAACAGATAGGTAAGCCATAAGACAGGTAAGATAACATTTGCTTGTCTGAAAATCAAATTACCAAAGTAAAAGAGATTTTTTTTCTTCCCCTAGAACATTAGGGGACGGGCAGCATTTTTTTTTCTATTTCACTACCCTCTCACCATGTAGAGAGAGGCATCGGGCCGGGCGCTGAGAAACTTCAAAGCCTGCATGAAACGCCCTCTCCTCTCATGGAGCCTGATACTGAAAACAGCCCAAGGACCAAGTCTGTTAGAACAACAAATGAGCTAGCACCTGGGCTTGTCTGGATCCCAGCACGTAGCTTGGAGTCTTGCCAACGACAACACGTACCTGCTCCATAAATAAGGGGGCCAAAAGTGTGCGCTTTGTGCACCGTGTGAGCTGTGCTTGCTCAGACATGTCCAGACTCAGCCCTGGGACGGCAGAGTCACAGACAATGCAGCGCTGTGTACGGCAGCCCAGGAGGCTGCCAATGCCGAGGCTTCCCAGCCTCACATACCCCCATTGCACCCCCACCTCCATCCTGTTGCCCCCGGTGCTTCTTTGCATTCTAATTTCAACCGTGAGATCATATTCTTATGCATCAGGCAGGGCACCATTGGAAGCCGGCCTAAGTGCTCAGTGTTTGTCAAGGCGAATTCTGAGAAAGGACCTGGAAGAGGTTGGATATTTCATATATCCATAACCCATATTCCAATAGCTTCCAAGGGATTTGAAATGACTTTTTGTTTCATATCTAGTTTTTTTTATAATTCAACCATAAGAGGAAGAAGCAAATGTGCCAGCATTTCCAACATCATGTAGTTCTTATAAAGGGCAATGGAATTTAAATGAGGAGCTCCCTGGCGGCCAAAGCAAAAAAGGAAACATGATGAATGATAAAACTTTGCGTTTGTTTTGCTTTGCTTTGCTTTATGAGAACACAGAGTCTAGCTCTTCCGGAGAAGAAGCTTTCCCAGATACTAAATTTCCTTTGCCAATCTAGGCCCTTCTTCAGAATGGCCTCCTGGGGAGTAGGGGCATTGTAAGAGACACAGGAGACGCAAGATCAGTTTTGATAGGGCGTTGGCGTCTGTCAACCAGTAATGCAGCGAGGGGGCAGAGATTACAATGTGTGAGCATACAAATTATGGGCCTGCTAAGTCAGTCAAAATTCTGGCCATCTCAGTGCCACCGGCTCTTACAAAATAAAAGCAAAGATGTCGGATGTCATGAGATTTCTTTCTGATGGAGCTTGGTAACAGCAGTTAATAAAGAACAGGGCAGAACCAAAATATGACCGACCGATCTGCCTGTCTTTGCTCAGATGTTCAAGGAAAGAGAACCGCACAGCCATGCTGGGGGGTGTCTGACTCACGGACGTGACAGGACGTGAACATGTCAATACTCACATCGCCCTCCAAGCTGAGCTTGCAAAGAATCTCGTGGACAGTAGACATCTTGAGAGAAGCTACGGGGGGAACAAAACAAAACAAAAAGTTGTTATGAAGAGACTTTTCTTTCCCTCGAAGCACAGTGATTCATTACACTAATGTCGACTTCTTGGACCATTTCATCTGAGGCTATTAGAGTAATTTTTACAAATAGACGCAATTCCCATCGTATGCTTGGGAAAATTAAAGCTGGAGGGTGGCTTGCCTCAGGTCGGGGATGGAAATCTTCCGTTAGGCTTTCTCTTCCTCTGTCTAAATGGAACCTGGGGATTGATTTGTGAATGCAAACACAAAATGCTGCCCCAGGCTAACGCAACTTGTTCAAACAAACTAAAATGCAGTAAGCTCATCACACCAGCCGTTTCTTCAGTTATTTCTCACATGTCGATGTGGTTTAGTAAACAGAAAAGAACCCGAGAACTGTGTGTGGAACATCAACAGCAGGATCAAGCTCTGATTCCTGTGAGGATCCCAAGGTGGGGAGTCATAATTTTTTTAACCCAACTACGCTTAGAGAATATTAAACATTTTATGGGAGAGGCAATGGACAGATTTTTCTGACTCTGACATATAGTAGACAGGGCTGGATTCCTTGTGTTTAAGACTCAAAGCGGCTGCTTTGGACCTCTGGTCTAGCTAATCCACTTAACTGGGCAGCGGGCACCGCGCTTGATGACTCGGCTTCCCAGTTCCCAGAATGAACCCACCCAAACCTTCACCAAGGAGGAGCACTCGGGGAGCAGTAAATTCATTTCGACGGAGACGAGACAGGTCCTTCGGCACCATCACCCCCCAAATAGAGAAAGGAGAGCAGAACCCGGGAACCCGGCCCTGCGACAGTGGGGGCATTTGAGTCGCGCACCTTCTGCTTTGGTCTCTCTTTGCTTCACATCGTTTGATCAAGGAAACTGAGCACATGCAAATTCAGCTTTCTGTTCTCTTCAGACAGTTTGCTTAGCCTAAATATTTTCATAAAACGGGTTGGGAGAGAGCCTTTCACGTCGACATTTGAAAACTTATCCGAAAGCAGTGGGCTAAGCATGGCGGAACGTGAGCGGGTTTGCCTTTACTTGTGGCTAATGATTTATTTCCGTGAGGCTTTTTATCCTGAATTCTCTCTCAGGCCACTCCTTTCCCCTCTGGATGCTCACAGGAACAAAAAGGACATCAGTCCCAGCTATTCCAGTTGCAATCCCGTTGCTTCCCAGACCCGTATGTTCTGCAGCTGAGATACCATTCTGGTTTGTAGAGGACCTTGCTCTGTGGTTGTGCCGCCCAGCACGGCAGCCCCCGGCCACGGGCGGCTCTGGAGCCCTTGAAAAGTGGTTAGTCCAAGCCGAGATGTCCAGGAAGTGGAAACTACACACTGGATTTTGAGGATGCATGGCATAGGAAAAGGAGGCAAAATCTCTCGGGAGTAGTTTTTATATGGATTTTTATGGTGCAGTTATGTTTGGGGTATATATTGGACTAAATAGATACATGGTTAGGCTTAATGTCACCTGTTTCTTTTTTTTTAATATACAAACAAAAACAAACTCATTGCCATCGAGTCAATGCCGACTCAGTGACCTTACAGGACAGGGGGGAACTGCCCCTGGGTTTCCGAGACTGTAACTGCTTATGGGAGTAGAAGTCCCATTCTTTCTCCGAGGAGCAGCTGGAGGTTTCGAACTGCTGACCAACACCACCACATAAGATTATAAAATTCGTCATTTTCTAAAACCAAACCCATTGCCATCAAGTCAAATCTGGCTCACAGAAGCCCTGTAAAGCGTTTCCTAAGGCTGTTCATGGAGACTTGAACTGCTCACTTGCAGGAAGCAGCCCAATGCATCGTTCACTGTAGCCTAAGGTGACCAGATTTTAACATTGGTAAAGCGGGGCACCATTGATAAAACTCATATCCTGGCGAAATAGCCACATGGCAGCCGAAACCCGTGTACCCTAGCTTGTCATGCATTCTTTCCAAAAATTGGGACTTTTTAATAACGCTGTGGGATGTGGGAAAAATTGTTAAAAATCAGGACTGTCCCACCAAAAGCGGGACGTCTGGTCACCTTACGTGTAGCGCCCCACCAGGGCTCCTTTGTTAAGGAAGCTATGTCCAAATTCAGGGCACCAGCCCTAGGAAAGCTTCCTCTCTGTCAACTTGGGAGAAGGTTCTGGTCTCTTTTCAATATCTGTTGGCCCAACCTCTGCCCATCGGAGCACTCAGTTGGCAGCCAATTCAGTAGGAAATCTCCATGTGTCTTGACATCCATCTTCCTCTGGGTCTAGGAGGTTCTCAGCAGAGGGATCAAGAGTCCAAAGGACACCCTTCCTTCTGGTTCATTTTTCTGTATGGTTGCCAAGCCCCTCTGAGCTCTGCTTGCTTTGCGGGTTTAATCTCTTTAGTATCTCAAAAGAGATTGACTTAAAATACAACTTAATCCTGGTAGATGATATCCTACCTCCTTAGCACCAATTGCCTCTAATTTGGCCTCATTAACATCACGGAGGTTGGGAATTATAACACATAGGGTAACTGCATCAAATCATAAGATAGAGGATGATTACATAATACTGAGAATCACTACCTAGTGAAGTTGATTCTTATCTTGAGGGACATGATTCAACCCATCACACACCAGCAGTTGGCATTCTGTGTCTATTGGGCAGCTCATGCAGAGAGTCCCAGGGTACCGTGGTCCAATCCTGGTCCGAATTCTTTGTGGTGTTTGCGGTGGGTGAGATTATTGAAGACGGACTTTTCTTTTGAAGCTGACACAGTTGAGTCAGCTGTGGTAGAGCAAGGCATCTCTAACTTTAAGGTGCAAGGGAAGCATTCCAGAGGGTCTGGTTAGAATCCTTAGGCCGGGGGCTGCATGTCGTAAGACATCCCATTACCTAAGCCCTGAATTGACAGTCACCCTGGCGCTCTGCCCAAGCTGGTCTTCACCTGCTGATCTTACAATCTTCCTAGAAGAATTCGAGCCCTGCCTATAGAGAACTCAGGAATAAAGATATCCCCAAATGGGACTAGCAACTCAGAGCCACAAACAGAGGTGTCTCCACTTACAATGCCATTAGGATTAGATTCCACTTATACTTCATCAATTGAGGCCCTCAAGCCGGTTATGCTGCTCACAAAATGTCCATCACACAAGCTTGGGACATTTGCATTGGCATTGCGCGGTTCTCGGTCCGAGCACTGGCTTTGCTGCCGGCTGGCTAAGCCCGTGCCCGTGGGACCACGAGATGCTGCACAGATCAAAGACAGCCGGGGGCCCCCTCCACACTCTCTACTCCTCTAGCCCATCTCTCGCCATTATAGCTCGTGAAGCACAGGCAGAAAATGGGGATTCCTTTAACGCCCCACGAATCTTGCTTTCCACTTCAGCCTTCATATTGCGTTGTTTTATAGCACATCAGCTTGCTCCCAGAAGCTTCAGGCCCACGCAGAGGCACCCGGGAGAAAGGTCTGCACTTCTGAGCAGTTTCATGCTGACACACATGGGGCTGCCATGGGCAGGAATCAACTGTTTGATCTCTCCTCAAATCAGTCCCGTGTGCTCTACCTGATCTCGTCAAACGAGTTGGAAATGCACTTACCAGGGGGTCCCTCTCACCCCACAAGTTACAGCCTTCAGATCTTGGCATCTGAATCCAGCCACACCCCTGTCTACCTACTCTCCAGCAACAAAGGGCTCTGCCAAGTTGCTCCCTGGGCCCTCCCCAAACAAGATGCTCGTTTAACCCACAGTCCCTTGCTTCATGTCTCTTCCCACGCCCCCATAATGCCACCTTCTTCTATTTCTAAGGACCCTGCTCATTGTTCCAATGGGCTCACCACAACCTCAGTTCCACAGTGCTCTCTCCCACCTTTTAATGCCAACAATCCTTTTGATACCACGACAACCTGCAAACAAAGTGGTCGCCATTCAAATGTCAAATCCATAGGGCAGTAGGGGCTGTGTTTGGGGAGAAAGAGGGGCTTTCTACTCCCATAAAGATGACTCCCTCAGAAACCCACAGGACCAGTTCTATGAGTCACATCAACTCCATGGCCATGAGCTTGGTTTTGGGAAGGGCTCTATTTTACCAGCCCCCGCCCCAAAACTCTCTCATTTACCAATAGCTTTAAGAGTATCTTTGCTTCCTTGCACACTCCAAGTGTTAGCTAAACTTTTAGGTAAAAATAAATGGCTCTTTTGCAAGATTTTATTTATAATCATGCTGCAGAAGAAGGGCAAATGTCCCCATAACCGCACAGTCACAAGAGCCAAAAAGCAATAGCCAGGAAGTGTGTTATTACTCCATGCGAGTGTGTCCTGCAGCCACATGAAATCCTTCTGATGTCGTGCAAGTTAAATGTCAAGTACATTTTCACCTGAGAAGTAAAATACCCTGGATTCTTCACTCCATCAACCCCCTTGGCAATTCGGAGCCATTTTGCGTAAGATGGAGTCGGCCCTAGGAGAAACAGTCAGATTCACCGCCCATACAGTTTGTTAAAAGACTGGTTTAATGCAGTGCCTTGACCAATGAGACTGTTGTGCCTGGAAGCAGAAAGGATGAGGTCTGGGCACTCCTGCTGTCGGTTACACACTCCGGGAGCATTCAAACAATCCGCTTACCCTTAACGAGCACACAGTAGGGCACGGCACACACATGTACTCCTGCAAGGCCTAGGCACACCCTCTCTTTCCGCAGAGCTCCGTGAGCTGGCTTGGACTCCTCCTCGGCCAGGGATTTGCTCAGGAGGGCTCACTAAGTAACAGAGGTAGGGCCCACATCCAAGTTCCCTGACTCCTGGGCCGTTGCCCTTTCAAACTCAGCACAGGAAGTGCTTAATCCAAGAGGTGAAGGTGGAGAGAGGAAGATAAAAGTAACAGCAGGGAACTCAGAGAAGTGCTTAAAGGGGTCCGGACTCATTTGGAGAAAGGAGACTCACCAGGGAAGGGTGCAGCCAGAGAAACAGGGAAGGCCAAGGGAGATGGATAGGGGGGTGCTATTGCAAGGAGGGGAGCAGGAGAATGGTTTG